CCCCATGCACCCCCGATCTGCAACGCCCAGAGCACCCCACTGCAGGCCCTGCTGCAACCCCACCCTCCTCTGCAGCCAACCCCCTGCTGCACCCCATCCCAGGGCACCCCTCACTGCAGTTCACCTCCTGCCGGGGACCTGCCCCCTCTCTGTGCAGGGGAGCAGCCTGCCCCACTGCACCGGCACCCCCAGGGCTCAGGGAATGGGTGCCATGGCGTCCCAGGGCTGCAGGGAGGAGGTTGCAGCCTCCAGTGGGGAGCACGGTGGGATGGCAGGCAGCAAGGCAGGGTGGTGGGGAGCGTGGTGGGATAATGGGGATCACAGCAGGGTGGTGGGGAGCTCAGTGGGATGATGGGGATCATGGCATGGTAGTGGGGAGCACAGAACGATGACAGGGAGCACAGCAAGGTGGTGGGGAGCATGGGCAACCACAGCCCAAGGGTGCCCTCCCATTGCAACCTCACTGGTTGCAAGCGGCAGGGCTCAGGAAAGGAGATGCCACCTTTCTCCTACCTTTGCCCACCCCAGTCAGGCCCCGGGGGGGAAAGCCAGGGCAGAGCTGTTTGCCGTGAGGCTTGGGGCCAGAGCTGCTGGCCAGCAGCCAGCTGCTTTCTGCTCCCTGCTCAGGAGCACAGAGGAGGGTTTGTGTGCGGCTGTGGGAGCACCATCCCCACCGGGGCTGGCCCTGCTCCCGGCAGCCCCCACAAGCCCCATCTCCCTACCCGCCACATCACGGGGCCGGTGTGCCATTGCAGCATGGTCCTTCTCAGGACCCCAGGGCGCACAGCTGGCGTGGGACAAGGGACGGTGCCACAAAAGGTAACGGGCTTTACCGGCACTGCTTGCTTATGCTTCTCCCCTGCCAGACGCCAGCTGGGCTGTGACGTTGCTGCTCACTGGTGCCGTAGCACCTGCTGTCCCTGGTCGCCTTGCTGGTGGCCCCGTTGGCCATGCCCCTGGCCCTTCTCCATGGCTTGGCCACACGTGGGGTGCTCCAGCCAGCTGGCATGTGCTGCTCATCCTGGTGACATCCACGGTGGGCCATGTGGAGGCTCTGCATGTCATCTGACGGATGTGGGGTGCCCTGGCAAGCCCCTGGCAGATGGTGTTTCTGGTGGGGCAGGCATCCGAGGCAGCAGTAGGCTGGGATGTGCAGCAGGAAGGGCAGAAGTTCAGAGACATCTTGCCGGGGAGCTACAGGGACACGTACTGCAACCTAACCCTGAAGGTCATGCACGGCATCTGAGCAGTGCCTGCCCCGCTACATCCTCAAGATGGATAATGACTGCTTCAACACGGACTGCTTGCCCACCTTCCTGGCTGGGCTTGATCTGGCGTGGACTGGCTTCTACGTGGTGTCCTTCTGGGAGAAGTGGCAGGTCATCTGCCAGCCCTCCAGCAAGTGGCACGTGGCATGCCAGGACTACTGTCCCAATGTCTACCTGCCCTATGCCAGCAGCATCGGCTACATCCTCTCCCTGGATGTGGCCAAGAGATTCTGGAGGTGGCTGGCACATCTGCCCCATCCCCATGGAGTATGTGGGCATCCTGGTGGAGGTGGTGGCGGTCCAGCCAAGAGCCAGTGACCATTTTGCCAAGCGTAACATTCCATGGTGCATCTGCAACCACGCTACCCGATGGTGATCCATGTCCTGAGCCTGCGGGAGCAGGAGGGGGCTCACTGCAGCGTGCTGCAAGCCTGCAGCACTGGCTGCCACAACCG